TATATATATATATATGTTGATGATGATATGTTCCCAAATGATGTTCGATATTTAATCGACTATGGAGCCGACTTGTCACATTTCCAGTAAAGAATTCTTGCCGAAAGACGCAATATCGATGAAATATTCCATGTTAAAATTTCTGTTGGTATTCGTTTGCTAGATAAACATAAAATGCTATATTACAGCAGAAAAACCAGTATGAATTAGCATAAATATTTGCTAATTCGAGCGAATTTTCTAGCATGAGGCAGTGTGTATTGACACACTCTACTGCTTGTCCATACATAACCAACTTATTGCTGGAATATCTTGCTGGGCTAGCAACAATCAATGCCACTACTTGTATGCTTTTTCTGCTTTTCTAACAATATTTCCCCAGCAACAGGTGCTTTTTTTGCTGCCACTTCTAGCATTTCTCTTCTACCATCAGTTGCTTTGAATGTTTGATAAGACAGCATGGGAATTCTACGATTAGTTGCTTTAAGTCCGTGCTATTGTAGTATTATTTTCCATAATATTATTAGTTACGGTTTTATTTTTATAAAACCATACGTCACCAACAATACTGTCATTTCTACTTTCGGCACTAAACTTTTTCCATATAAGGAGGCAATTTCAATGGTATTTCAATGACTGATGCTGATAAACCAATCTATTTTGGTTATTAATTGATTGGTTATTGATTGGTTATTGATTTGGTTATCAATTAATTGGTTTATTAATTGATATATAGAACAAACTGTTCCATGATCCTATCATTGAATACACCAGTAAAAAGCAGTTGATTCATAGCACTGCTTCAACTTTTGCAACTGTTTCAGAAAATATTGAGTTTCATAGTTTATTAAAAGAATTTCTCGAACAGACTTGTACTAAACCATTGCAAAAACAAAGTGCCAAACTAAATATGGTGCATTTCATATAAACAAAAGGACCACCAGTTTATTCAAGGCTAACTCCTACACAGCTTAAAATAGCGAAACATGTATTCAAATTTTTGTCTCATAATGGGATTTGTAAGTCGTCCAAATCTAATTGGGCATCATATCTGTATATGATAACCAAAAAGAATGGTAATCAGAGGTAATTTATTCAATTTTGAAAAAATAGTATATTAAAGGGATGAATAATTAGAAAAAAATGGGATTTTTTTAAAAAAAATGATTGACCCCTCAATTTTCTACAACGGTTAATTGCTTACCCGTATTCTTAACAGATATAAAGTAAAGTTAATCTGACGGTTTAACCATAAAAAAATCTTCTTTCTCATTGCTGTATATTTTGAGATAAGATCTTCTTTATCAAAGGACTAAAGGCATCGGATCAAAGTCCTTTTACTTTAAATCATCGCTCAAAATGGATTTCGTTTATTAATTTTAAGGTGTAGATATAGTTCTTCTACAAAGCCAAAAAAAGTCAACATTCCATTGCTGAGATTCGAAACTTTCTTCCTCCTATTTGGGCTATAACCTACTGACCTGTACCATACAAAAATCTTATATTCTAGATGGAAGATATTTAGGTGTTCTAATTTCTTTTCATTCATTATGATGTAAAAAGTTTTTAATGTCATGGACAAATGTGCTTTAATTTTATTATTTTTAGTATGTTTGTCATGATGAACTTAATAACAGTTTTTATTTTAAGCTATTAATGGTATTACCACGAGGAATTCTTTAAATGGTGTACTGAAGCAATATTAACGAATTAAAATTTTTTTATGCAGCGTGTTAAGTAAATTGCTTACATAAGAGGTTGAAGTATTTACATTTGTTATATTCGTTATATGCACACTACGTACGATGTGTTAAAGTTCGAAATAAAGCGTATATCAGGTATATTAAGTAGGTATAATGTGTAAGTTCAAGAATATTAACGTATTTAAGAATAATTAATAATCAATAATTATGTATTAAGAATAATTATGTATATTAAGTGTGCTCATATAAATATGCCTCATATAATGTGTTTATATAAATTTTTAATGCGTCAACAGTGTACCAAATATGGGTTTATAAATATATAAAAAAATACGAAATTTGAAACGAAATTGTACATAAATTGCAAAATTTGACTGACGCAACGAAAGCACACTCTCTCTCGTTCATTAAGAACTCGCTCACAGACGTAAATAATTATTTTCGCTGACCTTTAGTGGCCCGCGGTATAGTGTTTGGTGACTTCTATCTAAATAATGAACTTTGAGCAGTGATATTGCTAAAAATCAACTTCAAAAGGCGACTGACGCTAGTTGATAGGAGGGTGTTAAAAGACAGTCTTTTGCCGAGCTGTCAGGATTAAACATAGAAAACATTATTCATATATTATCTACACGTACTTTCTAAAAGGTAAAGGATCATTACTCTTAAATTTCAAAAGATCAATCGTGCAAACTTTAAATGATACAAATCTCATATTTGATTGAAAATTAAATTACAAAATTATTGACAAAAAAGTTTTGTTACAATAGTTTTTTTCTTTGATTCCAAGAATAAAGCGTTTGTTCCAAAATGCTTTGTGAGGTAATTGTTTCATCTCTGATATTTTGAATTCAATTTGAGATCGATAAGGTGTCCTTTTCTCTTCTGCGTTGATCGAATAGGTATCGATTCTGTTGAACGCCATCAAGTGCAGCTGTCACATAACTCTCATGCCATAACTAAATCAGATATCTTATTTCCAGTTGCATTTTCAAGAGTACGTACCATATTTGACCAATGGGCACTCTACTACAGAAATGAAATAAATAATTTTTCTTTTTATTTTAATAATAAAAATTACTTTTCAAAATTTTCTTTCTTGAGTTTCTGAAGTAGGCAGTAATATAACATTAAAATTTAAAAATAAATGAAAGTTACATTTAAACGATTTATTTCCTTTTGGAATTAATGTATAATAATAATAATGGTAAATAGATTATATATAACTGATAATAATGGGTAAATTATATTTTGAAACCAAATCATTATACATTTAAAATGCTATACATAGTTTAACCTCTAACGTCCGCATGACTGAAACAATATTAAAGAATTTAATTTT